TTCAATTATTAGGTTCTCGAGATTTGGTCAAATAAGCAAAAAGTAAAATTAAGGGGCTCAAACTTTGGATCGTTAATCGTACCAAACTAATGGGACCATATTTCCCAGACGGTGGCTACCATCTATATTTCGGGAGTCATAAATTTGAATCCGTCATAAGTAAAGATATGTTTATTTAGAGAAAGTACTTTTTTGTTTCTGATTTAGTAACTTTAAATATTTTCTGCACTAATTAATTAGCATATTTGAGGTTACCCTCTTGAACCATTAAGATTAATTACTAGAACGTTAAAATTCGATCTTTAGATCAAAGGTGATCAGTGTATTTTTTTGCACACCGCACATCTCATATTAGTATGCATATCATGGACTCAGTCATGGACTACTTTATCGTGCACTTCACCATTCCTCCTTCATAGTACATATTTAAATGGTATCATTCTATAGAGCATACATTTGTTTTTTTGCCAAGCCCTGTTTTATTCCAATTTTTTTTAAAAATTTCACTTTATAAATTCTAAAAGCATAATAAATAAATAAAAACTTTTAACTTCTGTATCTGTGTTCAGTAAAATTTTGCAAATATTTTACTTATATAAACTTATTTACATATTTGATTCAAGAGCAGAAGAAAAAATTCTTTTCGGAGGACAATTCTGTGAAGATATTTACCACGTTAATGCAACTTTCTTGAAAAAAGAACTATTTTCGGATACATATATTTTGTTTACTGAGTAAACGTGAAGAATCCCTAATCCGAGTCAATTGAATCATTAATAATTTTAAAATTACTTTCCTAATTATTATGAAAATGTTAATTTTGAATTAAAAATGTTATGAAATCTGCTTCTTTTGTTTATTATTTACGTTACTTTTGTTTCCGTTCCTCCACTAAACAATGTCTAAAACTTGTCACAAATCAAACAAACATTCTCATCCTTGAAAAATCTGTATTATGTATTATGTCGATACAACATGCCTATGCCTAGGACAAGAAAAATATTAATTAAGGCCATGCATTTGTATCTTATTATCAAAAATAAACGCTTTGTTTTTTATTCGTTTCTTAATCATTAAATAGATGGCGCCATCGGCAATGCATTCTTAACAAATTTTATAAATCATTAAACCACGCTCAGAATATGCTGTAAACACAAAAATAATCACACACAGAAGTAAATCAAAAACATCAAAATAAAGTTCGCATTCTCATAATTCAATTGTCATTTTCAATACAATTTTCTTTTTAATCAATATTGGCAGTTTTAGTTTCAGAAGGGAAATAAAATATTTGTGAGAAATTTATGTACCTTTTAATTTTATTACCTGTGTTTAAAATTTCATTTTTAATAAACTAATTTTATACATTATTATAACCATTATTTTATATATTAAATTACTTTGGCTTCTTATGACTATCATCTTTTCCCTGTAATTTAACTACATCACTCTTAAAAGTAAAAAGAAAGGCTTCACATACTGTTCATTTGAGAATTATAAAAGGAATAATTTTAAAATGAATGAATGCGTTGTGTACCCAGGGACTAATAGAGGACTTTATATCTATGACAGTACCTAATGAAACTTTTAAATAAAGTTTTAAGTTTGTTTATATATTAAACAAAATCTTTCTAAAACGAGGACGAGGTGGCCGAGTGGTTAAGGCGATGGACTGCTAATCCATTGGGCTCTGCCCGCGTGGGTTCGAATCCCATCCTCGTCGATAAAACTTTTTCTATTAGCTAGCTCACTTCATAATTAGTATAATTCAATTATGATAAAATTGTTTAGAAATAATAATTGTTTTACAAACCAAGTCTTATATGAAGCGAATTTTTAAAAAAATTATGAAATTCGCTTATCTAAATAAAATTTTAATGGTAGGATTATCTAATTATAATTTTTTTTAATTATTTTTTTATTGCTTTATTTAGTAAAGATCGAAAAAATTTTGAAGATAATATTTATAAGATATACAAATTTTTGCTTCATTTTGCTATTTAAATGAAAAAATACAACATTCGAACGAAATCGATTGGAGAGTTTTTCAATTTGCAAAACCCTTTTTTACTTTATTTCATTTTTTACGTTGTGCGTGATTCGCAAATGCGAATACAAATCGCGAAGATGTACAAATGGAGAAAATATCTATCACAATGAGAAATGGGTAAATTGCGTTAATAGGAATCTTGCTTTATATAGCAAGATTGCAACATCAATCATAATCTTCTTTATTTTAAGAGAATAATTATAGTTTTTTTCCCTATTCCCGACAGTCACGTTATAAGACAGTCGTTGTACTACTACTACAAGGTAGACAAAATAATAACGGCTCAGCAAATATAAGATTCAAGATATACAGACTGTATTTCATTTTAGCAAGTGTAAAAGTAGCTATTTAAAAAATATAGGATTTTTTTTAGGAAAAATTTAGGATAGCTGAAATATTGCTTTATACATATTTTTAATAAAATCAGTTATTTAATGATTAAAAACTTACCTCTTGTATTAATTTCATCAGTATAATTAACAAGATTTTAGTCATACTAAATTACTTAAGATTTTAATTTTTGATCACTAACATCAAAATAATTTAATTTTTTTTCTTTTTCTGAATTAAATTGTGTACTTGAAAATAAGTAAAATCGCTCTTTAAAGTTATCTTTTTAGGCAACGGTTTTGTGGCCCCCTTCTATCAGAGCCAAAGCTGTTTAATGCATTTTTGTTTTATTCTTGTCATGCGATGTTGCGTTCATAAATCAGTGATCAACCGCTTCTTCCTCACTCTTTCAGATTAAAAAAATTATCAGACTTAGATTGTGATTGCCTACTCTTTTTTTCTTCAGAAATCTTTCGGTCGTGTATTTAGCATATGCTCCGTTGTAAAATGCTATGATTTTTTTGGGGGATGCTAACATTTGTAACCTTTCCTTTTACACAAGGTGATCAGATTTCTAAACCATGATTTGAGAATAAATCAAAATTTTAAGTCAAATATAAATATTTCTCTAAAAATTTTACGATTTGAAGACATTTATAAATTTATGGAAAACACTAATTTATGTGTACAGCAAATGTTTTGTTTTTAATAGAAAATTAATATCAGGTACAGAACAACCTTCATCAAACTTGATTTCATTATCGAGCAATATCGGCATTCATAAATATACAAGGGCGCCAGCAGAACTCCTGGTCTTTAAAAAAAAAAATTTGAAGAGTTACAGAAAAACAATTTTGTTATAAATTTTCTTTATTAAAAATATTTTTATTCAAAAACAAATAATTAAGTAATTATACATAAGAATTAAAAAATTGTTTTATCAAACAAGAATTGTAATCGTCTTGTTTGCTGTCCAGATCTGTTTATAACTTTCTCCATGAATTCTGAGTCATCTTTGATTCTTTTCTTATGCACAAAGAGCATGCACTAACTTGGCAGATATCTACGCTATATTTTTAAATTTCATTTAATAAAATATAAATAATATCATATTTTCTACTAGTTATTTAGTTTAACAAAGGTGTATAACACAAACTGACTTCTCTCAACTGTAAAACTTCATCAACGCAATAAATACCAATGTTAAGCGTGCGCAAACACGTTGGTATACGAAACTACTGTTGGTAGTTATTAGAGCTGGACTACCCATAACTACATTTGTGATAGAACCTCAAATATCTTAATATCAGAATATCCCTGCTAACAATGTTTTTTCTTTCCTTTTCTCTAGTTCAATAATATGCTGCTCCAACTCAGCTATATACATTCAAATCCGGCTAAATATTCAAAATAAAGAACACTAAGAGTTGAACATTTTATATTGTTGTTGTTATTAATTTACGTCGCACTAGAGCTGCACAATAGGCTATTAGCGACGGTCTGGGAAACATCCCTGAGGATGATCCAAGGACATGCCATCGCAATTTAGATCCTCTGCAGAGAGGGGAGGCACCCCCGCTTCGGTAGCCCGACGACCTGCACGCACAGTCGAGCACTATACGGTAGAACAGTTTAACGAGGACATTTTTACTTTTAAGCAAAAAGATAATTCANCGATTACAAAAAACACATTTCTTCTTACTGTAACAATCAATTAACCGATGATTTGGTTTTAAGCAAAGAAAGCAGAGTGAATATAACCTTTTTCTCGTTTTCTTGATGGCACAGGAAAACTACTCAATAATTACCAAGGGGTAAGTAACAAAAATATATTTAAATCGTTAACATGAATAATACGGTACAATGGTAGACAATGCTACTACTACATTACAATGTTCTTGCTTTTTACAAAATCTTAGTTTGCAGTTACGGTTACAATCTAATGATAAACTCCGCCATCTATCGGTGGTTCAATAACATGTATTTCTACAACATTTGTGATAGAACCTCAAATATCTTAATATCAGAATATCCCTGCTAACAATGTTTTTTCTTTCCTTTTCTCTAGTTCAATAATATGCTGCTCCAACTCAGCTATATACATTCAAATCCGACTAAATATTCAAAATAAAGAACATTAAGAGTTGAACATTTTATATTGTTGTTGTTGTTCATTTACGTCGCACTAGAGCTGCACAATAGGCTATTAGCGACGGTCTGGGAAACATCCCTGAGGATGATCTAAGGACATGCCATCGCAATTTAGATCCTCCGCAGAGAGGGGATGGCACCCCCGCTTCAGTAGCCCAACGACCTGCATGCGCAGTCGAGCACTATACGGTAGAACAGTTTAACAAGGACATTTTTACTTTTAAGCAAAAAGATAATTCAAAAGCTATTTAGCACTGTTATTTAAAAAAAAGAAATAATAATTGTTATCCCTTCAATACTAATATTTTAATATTCGAATTAGGTGCGATGCAAATTATTTTGTCTAATCAATGTCCCTCTGTATTTCTTACAGAAAATATAAAAGCAGAATATATAATAAAACCTTAACAAAACACAATAGTATAGTAATAAGCACACCGAAAAATTATTAGAAAAATCGACAACATACTGGGAGAAAAAAACATTTATTTGGAAAATGTTTCAAAATATACATGTATGGCAGTGTAGTTTGACTTTTCATAAAATGCATTAACATAACAGATATCACAGCCATTGCTATTCTGATGTATTTAGTTTATAGAATGAAGATAAATAAATTTGAACGAATACAAATTATATTTAGAAAGGGTGCACAACACATAGACCTTGCTTTAGAGAAAGAGTTTTTTTCAACAAAAAAAAAACATGATTCATGGTATAAAAGTAAAAAATATGGCATTAAAGTAAAAAAAAAATCTATTATGAAATGTTTAAATCCTGTAATGACCAAGTCAAATTTTTTAAAGAACAACTACAGCTTGTAATTTTGCAAATACATTTTTAACTTCATAAAACAATACAAATATTAAACAAAATGCATTGCATTTTGCCTTTAAAATTTTTAAAATGGACACATCAGAGCCGTAAATTACAAAAATGCACAAATTATACCGTGACGCAATCCCTTGATAGTCTAGTTTTTTTTTTTATCTGACTGCCTATCTCAGTGTAAAGATGTGCACCCCTATTATATAGAATGAACACATTTTAAAAGAATACAATAGCTTGAAAAAAGAACATGTTTGAATCTTTTAAATAATAAATAAATTACACATGAACAAAAATCACAGTTACAAAGTATTAATCTGTTTCCTTGTACTTTTATTATGAAAATGTCATTTCTAATTTTTAGTAATCTACAAAATATAATTCCACGAATTTAAAATAAAAAACATATACCCCCAGTATGGATAAAACCTCATGAAAATTCATATATCCCCCCCCCCCAAAAAAAATGGAAAGAGCATGTAATTTTAATTTTCATTTAATCTTTTGAATTATATTTTATACATAAATTTGCTCAATGGAACTTAAAATACATCAATATTAAAAAGGAAACATTAACTCCTTTATCTTTTAAATAACAGTAGGCAATACGTAATTATATAAAACAAAAATTTAAAAATAAAACAAATTTTCAGATATAATAATTATATATAAAAAATAATATGAATTAAAATTTTTTAAATGTGTAATTAAGTGTGCATGTAATTGTAGTAAGGAGTAATAAATATTGGCACATGCTTTTAAACACTTAGGTGTGCATTTACTCAAATTTTAAACTATCAAAATTATATAAAATAAGTTCAAAACTAAATAGTGAGAAATTGAAGCTGATTAGGCATCACACTCAATGAATGTTTGTTTTTTCACCAAGCTATTATTGTTGCATTTTAAATATAAGGACATCACAAGCTGCCAATTGGTTGACTTCATTGGCAATTCAAATTCACGATATTGTGGCAGGATACAAAAGCAGAACCAAAAAATTTAAAACCAAGAATCATAAAGAAACAATTGTCCACGATCACTATGAGGCATAACGTAGCATATCTCTGATTTTTCAAAAAAGTCACTATTACATTCAGAGATCACTATTTCAGACTTTAGGTCTCAATGATTAATTTGGTACTAAATTAGATACATTTGTGCGAAAGTACCCACATTTATTTAACAGATGATAGTTCAGAGCAAAAACTAACATTTACTTCCATTTACCATAGAACTTATACATTTGTAAAACGAAGAATTAAGGCACAGTCACGAAATGGACATTTTTATATACATAGATAATTTATATACATTTAAAAACTCTTTTATAATGTCATATATACATATTTATGTACAGGTTGAAATTTGATTATGTTTAGAAATGAATTTTACAATGTGTGGAATGGGTAAACTTCTTATTCTGTACAGTTGGTGTCTTAGTGATCGATCTTTTGGCAAGTAGAACAAAATTCATTTTACAGCAGCCTTCCTCTACAATTTCTTGCATCACAATAGCAATACATAACTTTGTCTACTACACTACCAACTTCGTAATTATAGTCCCATGTTAGTTCTGTCCCTGCTAAAATGTAACTATAACAAAAACAAATTTTATTAGTTTAAAAATTCTCATGGATAAATTAATTACATTACTGATATTTGCAGTATTAATGAAAAGTAATACTTACTGCATGGCAAAGAAAGCAATAGCTGGGAACCTTAAATCATGGGAATCCGTAAAAACATTCTGCACGAATACATTAGGTGCACAACTATGCTGTAAAAACAATGCAAGTTATGATTAGTATTTTATAAAATTTTTAAAGATGAGAAATAGTAAAAAATTCAAAGTTATGAAACAATAATAAAACATATTGCCATATTTCCCATTCATTATTCATCAGGGTTCACACTCAATTACAGAAAAAATATTCCCTGACTTTTCCAGGTATATCAGATAAATTTTAATGAAAATCCATACCATATTTTATCTTAACTGTGCCATTTTTCATCAGAAAACTTTGATTTTTTTAATTTGTAATATCAAATTTTGAGAGCAAAAACATAAAAATGAAAAATGAATAAGTTTCAATGTGGAATTTTATAAAAATAATTGTAATAGATGTTAACTTCTGTATATTTTACATATAAAAAATGCAATATCTCACATACTTTTACTTATCTACAATTTTTTTAATTTTTTTTCATTCAATAATACCATTATTTTTAAGACATAAGTTTAATGACCAATAAAAATTTTAATATTGTAGACTTAAAAAAAAAAGAAGGAAAAAAAACATAACTATGCATGGAAAATGAATTATTATTAAAAACAATCCAAATAGTAAAAAAAAATATAACAATTTTTATAAAAAAGTAAAAGTATTTTCGTAGCAGTCTTCTGTGAGTCAAGCAGTCATAGAGACTAAATGTCCAGTCCAACTTTATGATTATGATAATGCGGCATTAAGTAGAGGCCACCTTTACTTCCCAGACAAGCTGGGTGAGTTTCATGTCACTACTGAGGATCAAACCTCATCCTTAACAACAACAGCTTAGTGCCTTTAACCGCTGAGTCATAGTAGTTTCAAAATTTTTATACTAATAAAAATATCAAATTTCCCCTTAATACTGCAAAATATTCCTTTCTAAGTTAGATCTTAAAAATGAAAGGTAATAAACTAACAAGAAACTATTATAAGCTATTGTCAAATTTTTTTTATTATAATGCCATAGTAAATAAAAAAATTTCAAAAAAACTCACATTTAAATATCGCCCAATATTTCCTTTACTTTTGGCATCCATGATGTAACAAGATTCATCTCCATAATAGCTTCGCACTGTTCGAAACCTATTTTCTTTCCTAGAGGGCCTTAGTGGTGTAGTCTGTTTAGAGTTTAAAGACTTTTTCGCAATAGTCTTAGCTAACAAAAAGAACAAGAAAAAATTTTTTAATATTCAGTGAGACACTAAAAATAGATAGAATTGAATAAATAAAAAACTAGAAATAATTTGATTTTCGATAGGCTAAATATCAATATAATTCAACAATATTTTAACTATATCTATTAAATAACAATAGAATTTAATACATTTTAGTACCATGTTGTGTATAGAAACACCAATGAAAATCAAAACAGCATTATTATTACTATATCTATTCTCTATTCGACAATACTATAGTCTACAATACTATTTCTATAAAAAAAGAATGCAATTGCAGTTGCATTCATTAATGAATTAATGTCATGAAATTCAGTTAAGGAAGAAAATTAACAATGAAATTTGAGTTAAAATTTATTATTTCTTTTCGTACCTATCAATATAAAATTAATGTGAATGTAAGCCCAAGTGTACCAAATTTGGTTTCACTCTAATAATTTGAATTTCTATTAACAATTTTTTTTCTAATTATTTGAATTTCTATACTATTTTTTATTATTTATATATTACATGCTTTCTGATTTTTAAGAACAGTTCATATCTACACTATACTGACTAATCGATTTACCAGCAGTTTTTTAAAAATGCCAGATACTTTCAAAACGTCAAGAAGAAAAAAATAACATTAACAAAAATTATATGACACTATATGACAGATATTTGCTAACTACATGATAGTCAGATCAGATATATATAGAGAGAGACATCAAAAGTGGTCAATAAAATGAAGCAAAAGTTTTTGAATATTTCAAAATATTCTTTTCTTCAAGTTAACAATATTTAATAAAGAAAGGTCTTCTTAAGCCTGCATGCAAAAAAAAGTTTTCAAAAAAAAATACAAATATTAGCAATAAAAATAAAAAAAATCATTGAATTTATTCCTTTAAATAAAAGGGTCATGCAGATACAGTTAAATAAAATTAATTCAACAGATCTAATCAAATTTTAAGGGATTTCTTTTTATATCTACAACATATTTAATTTTAAATAACACTGTTTTACCATATTTAAAAAAATAGATTTTAGGTATTAAAAAATATATAGGTATATATATATTTCGTTTACAAAACTAAAAAACTATTTTAAATTAAAACAACAGTGCGTTGAACAGTAAAACAACAGTGCGTTGAACAGTAAAACAACAGTGCGTTGAACATATTTAAATTGAAAATAATAAAACCTTTTAATTTATAGATCAATATTTTTGCATTGATGAATTAAAATATTATGTTACTCATTCCTTATAATTCTTTTTCATGTGTGTGTCAGATTTTCAGTTTCATGTGCATATCAGATTTCTATATAATTTATCTAATAGAGTTAATTTTAGAATAAAAACTAGAATTTGTTTTAAAAATAAAAACCGGAATATTTAATATTTTGATGTTTGGCTTAACATTTCTTCAAACATTTTTCCCTACATGCTGCAAGGAGACCTTTCTTTTTCAAGTAAATATCAAATCATCTAGTTTCATAAAATAAAAATATACAAACCGTGCAACCTTCACCACAAACTTTTAAGCAAGCAAAATGTTTTTGAATTACTAACAAATGCTTATAAGCAAACCTGCTACAAATTTAACGAAAAAAAAATACAAACTAACACCAATTTTAGACTATAAAATAAAAAATAAAATGCATAGGGAAAACAAAAGAGGAAATAAGAGATAGAAATGTTTTTAAATACACTAATTACAGAGAGAATTTTTTGCATTTAAAACTATAAAGATATACCATTGCATTAATGTTGAGGAATCTATGTTAATAAAAGCAAGAATCCGTTAGTGGACAAAATAAATTAGAATATTGTCTCATAAGATTAAAGAATGAGTAAACTCTGTATTCATATTTTCGCCAAGATATTTACTTTATAGCTGTGTTTCAAACCAACGTTACCAAACTTCGAAGAAAATAAATCCTGAAATTAAAATTTGTAAGACAATTCAAAGTGCCAAAAAAATTTAAGTCCTTCAACATTCAAAATTTTTTTTTAGCTAAAGCATGTTGGAAACGCACTGTTCAGAGATATGTTTATAAATTAAAGATTTTGAAGTTTATAGTCCGTTACTATAACATGAAAATAATTTTTTCAGAGAAAGTTACATTAAATTTAATTTTTTTGAAAAAATACAGCACTCATATTGATCTATGACATGATTAAGTTTTTATCAATTCACATAAAAATTTAATAGCAGCTTCTTGAAAGATTAATTTTTTTTCAACAACCTTCTACTATTAATTGATGTACAACAAATTGCTATAGAAATCGTTAAAATCTGTAGTTTTTAGAGTGGAAAATAGTTATTTTTAGTTGTAACTACAAAAACATTATTTTATTGTGTTAAATATTTAAAATTACGAAACAATTTCGAAAACTTTTTTTTAAAATCAAACAAACAGGTATTTTTTTTAAATACACTTTTAAATCATATTATTGGAAAAAGCATATCAAGACACTTTTTTATGTAATAAATTAGAAACTATATGCAGCATTTAAAATCTTATTTGATTTGAAAAAGGTTTTTTTTTTAAATTTTTAAAAAAAACATACTTTTTAAAAGCATTTCCTCAAAATTATAGTTTTCCCTTTTACGCTTGAAAGTGATAGTTATAAATGAAAAAAAAAATATCAAGACACATATTATGCAATAAATTATCTACAGCGAGAGTTCTGTGAATAATATGAAATCATTTTTCAACATTTGTTTTAAAAATATGAATCGGCGAGTTTTTCTAATCTATAATATTAAAAGACAATAATCTTAATCAGAATAATCAGAAATAAGACTTTTGATGTGTTTATTACCATTGTCTGATAGTTTTGGAGTTCGAACAAACTCAACATTATCCACAAACGCAGCAGACTCAGGACTTAGAGGACGTGGAGTGATTGTTATCATATCTAAGGAGCAAAGACCCAAAGATATAGAAAACAAATAATGAATCCAAACGTTTTACGAATTTCACTTTCTTAAAATTAATTATTTTGCACTAATGTGATTGGGTGTTAAGCAATTTGGCTGTTAAGTTGGGGTTTCTTCAGAAAATTCTTCGGTTGTGGATCAATAATTTTATGCTCATAGAGTTATTTAGAATAATAATTTTGCTCCACCTGCAATTATGTAAATAAGAAAAAAATTTCTGTTTTGTAATTTATAATAAATTAATGTAAAATTTCCTCCTAATGTAACTCATACAATTAAGAAAAAAAAATTTAGTGCAGTTTTATGAATAATGCCTTTTTGAAACTAGCATATGGTAAAATTTTCTTTAATGTTTTTAGGAACTGTTTGGTAAATACCTAGTACGAATTGTAGCTAAAATTGATAAAATGCTTTGAATATTTAAAATTGCAGTTGTGCGCTGACTGAAGTTAAAGTCTAAGAAATAGAAATTGAGAGTTTTAAATAATACAATATTGAAACTAGTTCAGCAATTAAATATTATAATCCTTACTACTTTTTTTTTTAAATTAACTTCGGTTAGAATGAAATGCTTTGCTTGCTAAATATTAATGTAGGATTGCTAAAAGTTGATCAGAATTTATGCAAACATAAGAACAGAATTACTAGTACTAACAGCCTAGTTTCTTGTTTTCAGCGAGCTTTCAAAAAGTAAAATGGTTCAAAGAAAAAAAGTTGCCAAGAGCTTTTTTTAATTAAGGCTTCAACTATTTAAACCGCTAAAATTTTCTTGTTCATGAATATAATAACATTGTAGATTTCAGAATCCAAAACAATGAGTTATTATATTACCTTTAGAAAATCAAAAGAAAGAAGATAGCTAAAAAGTAGGTGAAAAACTGAATCTGTAATGTTTGAATGATGAACTGAGATGTAATGTTTAATATGTGTAAAAAAGAAATAGATTACTTCTGTTTTGATATGGCATAACAAATAATTTCTGTTTTCTTTTTGGCAGACAATAAAATGCCTGAATACAAATTACAGACACATGGAAAACAATTTCTGCCAACACATAAATTGCTTTAAAAAAAATAATAAAAACATCAACAACATTACTTAGATGAACACATTATATTCGTCAGCTCATTAATAAAGTATATCAGCATAACAAAGGAAATTTTCAATTAAAAAAAAGTGTATGCAACACTAAAATCCTCACAAAAATGAAACTAAACAATTTTTAATTATTTCTTTTAACTGGAAATTCTGTTTCATACTGGAAATTTAAATACAAATGGCGGCAATCNATATACAGTGAAACCTGTGTATAACGATACTGTCTATAACGATAAACCTGTCTATAGCGATATTTTCTTGAGGTCCCGGTGAAATTCCTATTTACTCAATGTATTTTCAACCTGTTTATAGCGATAACCACTTTTCAGTTAAACATGTCTACAACGATAATTTTTCCTCTTTTGATAGTTCCATTCCGATTTTTTTACCGTTGGAAAACGACTCCCCATCAAGCTTAAACTAATACATCATTTCTATTTAACGCAGATGAATTTTTAAATTTAGACAATGATGTGTTGGTTTTCAGTGGTGCAAGTGTTGAAGAGATTTTAGCAGAAGTTATCCATGGTGATCAAAGTGATGAGGAAGAAGCAGCTGACTGTTCTCAAAACAGGACTCAAATTTCACCCGAGAATGCCATATTGCTAATTAACACTTTGTAAGATTTTGTTGCAACATTACCAAATGTAACTGATGTTCATTTGAATTCATTAGATGGACTGAAATCTATGTGCATGGAAATGGCAATTGCTTCCAAAAATAAGCAAACAAAACTAACCGATTATTTTTCTAAATAATTTCTGTTTTGATTCATAAAACTGTAAGTAAATTTTTCTTGTGTGCTGTTTCATAATTCTAAGTAAAATTTTCATTTGGTGAATGAAATTCAAAATTTCAAAAAAAGAAGTTTAATTTATTATTAGTTTTAAACAAATACTTTTAAATTTCAAACCTGTCTATAACGATAACCTGCCTATAACAATATTTCATTTAGGTCCCTACAGTATCGTTATAGACAGGTTTTACTGTTTATATATATATATATATATATATTAGTTCTTATACCAAGAGAAATTCTATTTCTAAAAGAATTATAACAAGCATCAAATTAACACAGAATTAAAAAAAGATTGCAAAAAAGTCTGCATTTTTTTTTTTTTTTTAATTAAAAATTTACATTTTTTTTTCTGAATTTCCTAAATGTGATATGCAGACATAAAATTAAAAGTGATATGCAGACATAAAATTTTACAATGATAATAAAAATTAAAAAAATTTTAAAAAATACAGCTGTACCGGAATTTATTTACACCCTGAAGTTCTTCTATAACAATATTTAAGTTGTAAATAAAGCACAAATAACAATAAACAAAATACATAACAAAAAAAAAATTCCAAATGATTTTTTATAACAGCTGTTTTATTATCAAATAACAGTTATTAAAAAGAAAACTTAACTATTTACACAGATAATAAAAAAATCGTAACTAGGCACAACAATCTTGCGTTTTCAAAGATAGATGTTAAAATTAATATGTGCTTACCAAGTGATTTAGACAAATCAGGCAACCATTTATTCTTTCTTTTGCCATTACTAACATCACCTTCAGATTCATCGTTCATAGATTGCCGCGATGAATCAGAGTCCAGTTTAGATTTTTTACTCCTCCTGACAAAAGAAAAATACTTAATAAAATAATGTTTACACTTTCAAAATAAAATAAAGATAACGATAAAAACTAAAAGAAAACATTCTACTCTTTAATCAAAATGTTATCTCTAACAAGAAAAATCTAAATGATTCAATAATTTATATCAAAACAATATTAAATATCCAACAATAATATGATGACTTGAATATATTTAACAATGAATGTTTTTCAAATAACGAAGAACTATAAGTATCAATTATGCATAATTTGCTTGAATAAAAAAAAATGCATTACTTTCAAAATTCTAATTACAACTGTGTAGTTTCTACAATAGTTCTCAAGCACTTAATTGGTATATTTTGCAATGTATATATGTTACGAGAAAAGTATAATGCGCCAGCATTCTACAGAATGCTTATGCGGCGTATATAATGCCGGATGTTTTTAGGTAAAATATGAAATATGAGAATTATTACATATTTGCCTAGGCACTATATTTGCCTAGGCATTCTATAGAATAACAAATATCCTAATAATAGACAAAGTATGAAAAAGCTCTTGATAAGGATAATATATAAATTATGTGCATTCCTCGATAATACACGTTATTCTGAAGAAATAAGAGAGCCATTAAAAAAATTTATTCAAAATACAATAAATATGAAAGTTTAAAGTTAAAAAGAAAAAAAATTATACCTTTCTTATAATGGGAAACATTTTCATATAAAATATAGGAAATTAAAATAAACCTACTTGTTACAACATGGTAAACTTGAAACATCTCATTAAATTAGAAATGAAATGGATATGCTTTTCATAGTTGGCAGATTTTTCATTTGGCATTCTTTAGAATGCCTAGAAAACTTGTGAAATATGAATCGTTACATACATTGATAGCTAGCTTTAGCTAGTTTATACCTTGGTATTCCATAGAATGCCGGATCTTAAGTTTTATCAGTAACATATATATGGATGGGGAACACTATAAAGCTTAGTATAAGTGGCATTAAGTTCCATGTTGCAACTTCTTAGAGCTCTTTACACTTAATTTATGTTAGGATATTAATTTCCTTTAAACTGTTTAATTGTGCAAAATATTTTAGAATTTATAAAATACAGCTAATTCTTATGAATTGTAAAATTACGCGAAAATTTAAATAAAATTCTCAAGGGAATCTGTTGAAAGATTTTTGTTTAAGTGACTGAACGTCATCCAAAAGGGAAAATTTAAAGATAACAATTTGTCCAAATCATGATGCCAAACTGTCACTAGAGAAACCTTACAATAATTACCACTTTCAAGAATGATTGATTCCTCAGTAGCTCTAAAAATAACTTCTTAATTAGAACAAAGAATATTGTTTACTCTTTGTTAAAAAAAGATATTTTACCTCTTAGAATTAATAAGAGATATTTATTTTAATCTATGACTTAATAGAATAATTATGAATGTGCACATTAAAAGATAGATAAAGAGATAGGAAATTTATATTTTAAATAGGGACCCAAAAATTTGAAAGTCCTGGGTGTACATATATTTATATATATATACACAGCCCGCACTAAGCTTCGCAAACCTTGCAATAATCGAAAAAATCGTACATTTGGCAAATAAAATTGTATTCTGTAAAAGTATTGGCGAATAATTTTTTCCACTGGGAAGAAAAATATATATTTAACTCTATCCTTAAAATTATGTCAAAATGAACTTTTCTAAAAAAATCGGTACTTTTATTCGATAACAGTAATTTTTGGTAGATGAGCCACATAATCATTTAGAATTAGGTCCAAATAATATAAGCCTGAAACAAACTACTGTAAAATAGTTTTCTATGGGAAAAAAATTTATCATAAAAAAATAGTTAAGATTTCCCCATATATATAAGTTGAATTACATATCAATAAAATAAAAATTGACAATTAAAATTAAAAAATATTTTTGTCAGACAGAGAATAATTTTTTCTGGGAATATTTTACAAGACTTCTGAAATTGAGAAATTTATTTACCTTGTAGACAGTGATGTAATTGCAGTACTACGCAAGTTTGGCTCGAAGTCAGAGTCATTTTCATCAGAACTACTATAAAATAATTTTTTTTAAAAAATGATGGAATAAGAAAATTTATACAGATGCACATAACAATAATTGAGTATACAAAGTTATTTAAGTGCAAGCAGAATCATACTTCAAACATAACAACCGAAATTTAGAGAGAATCAAATGATAATCATTTAATCTAGGTTAAATGTTGTAAAAAAAAACTAAAAGATGCTTTAAAAGAAAAATAAGATTTGTGATGCTGATAATGAAACATGCCACAATATAAATTCAAGAACTTGTTTTAAAAAAATCATGCAAAAATAATTTTTTGTTTTCGCATGTATAAATCAATTATTACCAAAAAAGATTTTTTTAAAGAATTTTTACTTTCCTGAAATGATTTAATTTTAAAAAAAATTCTATTAATTCCTGAGCACAAAGTCTCATGCTTTACTCAAGAAAATAATTGCTAAAATTATCCTAATAATACATAAATAATTGCTTGTGTAATCACTATATATAATGTGAATTAGTTTTATTAAAAAATCTGATATAACATGCTGTCCAATTGACAACGCATAAGAAAAATAAATTCCCAAAATATATTTTCAGTACAGAAATTCACTAAAGGCAACTATTTCTGAATTGAAAATATATAATGGTTATTAACTTCACTAAACAACAACTAAATAAAAGCAATCAATTTATAATGAACTTACAATGAGGCATCAGGATCATTTGGATCATCATCAGAGAAATCACTTTTGTTGTCATTCTTATCTTCATCATATTCTTCCTCCATCTCTAGAACATCAGATTCATAGCCTTCTTTGTTTTTTTCAGCTACTTCAATGTGATCTAATTCAGCTAAATATTCATCACCAAATTCATTCCCATCCTAAAAGACCAAATTAACTGAGTAACAGAATGAGAGCATTAGGAAAATTTGTTACAAAAAAATATATGCCATAAATATGGCTCAGATTTTAAAAATACTTATATCATTATTTAGACTGTATTTCTCTACTATTTTTTTCCCCTTTACATTTTAGAGAACTTTATTGTAACATTTAAGGAGAATTTTTGTACTGGGTAATATTATTTTATAAAAAAGTTTAAAATATTTTCACCTTTGATACTGTAATTTTCAATATCTTTGGCACATACATAGAACATGAAAAATTACTCTATGAAGGCATTTTTAAAACCTTACAGGAAAAATAAGAACTTACTTCATCAGCTCCTTGATCTGTTAGCAATTGGCCAGCATATATACATATAAATTGACCAGCATCCAGGTCATCGAGACATCGAATCCCCCAACCTTTTCTTTCAGTTTTAAACATTTGTAAACGAACCTGTGTTTTCAAATATAAAAAAAAAATTTTTAAAGGTTCTAATAAACAATAATTGCAACACCAACTTTAAAATAAAAAAAAATAGAAATTCTCAGTCAAGGAAGATAAATTTCCACATATTTTTCAGAGAAAATCAATAAAAGGTAATTTCTTTCAAAGGAACAGATTTTTTTCATAAAGTACAATTTCTTATTAACAGTTTATTGGAAAAATTAGTTTCAGAAATTTAGTTCAAATACAACATACAAAAAACATTATAAGTTGGGAATCATTTTGATGACATTTGAAAAGGATTAACTACAGTACAAAAAAAAAGAAAAAAAAGATAGAAAACATAAGTAAAGCAAAATGAAAACAAAAAGATTGAAAAAAAAATGCTATCATTTTTTTGCAGCAGGATATTAAAAATAAATAAATAAAAATATGAATTTATTTCTTCATCCTTAAAGGAACCAGAAATTAAAAACTATTGCTTTGAAGACCTTTTACAGAAAAAAAAAATTATCAATAAATAGCAACTGAATGAGTAAAGTAGATAAATTTTTGTCAGCATCAAAAAGGTACCCCCACCTTTTAACAAATCTTACTTGTTTCTGTACTTAAGGGTGATTCGTAATAGTCTTCTATGAATGAAGTATGATGTTTTAAAGAATAATAGTAAGACAATTCTTCAAAATAAAGTCAGGACATATGCTTAAAATTAAGAGGGGAAGGGATTATTTGGGAAACTAAACAAAGGTTGTAAATTATATCATACAACCAAATAAAAATTTCTGCAAACATCAATCAAATATTTAAGTACAAAATAATAAAACACAAATAATGAAACACAAAAAACACATGATAGATAGTAAAATTATTAAAACAAAATTAGACATACCTGTAGGCCATTTTGAACAACTCTATTTCCGCATGATGCAGAACATTTGCATTTTACATTGCACTCATATATCCTATAATGAATAAAAATTCAAAACTTATATTCTCTGTAGTTGAGTGAAAAGTAATATATACAACGATTATATATAAATACAACACTTTTCAAATACAGTCCTGTTTTGATATCAAGAACTCGACAAGAGACACTAAAAATGTCTTGATGTCAAAAATTCAGGGCATAGAAAGGGAATAGTTTTAATATATTTAGTCAAAATAAAAAACAATAAAGACAATTTATTAGTTGTATAATAAAATTGGGGTGAGTCTGAACTAAATGGCATAGAACGCATCGACACAAGCAATATTTATCATTGGTATGATCAGAACACAAACAGTGAGAAGTTAAGAAGTAGTTTTCCACCGTCACGTTTAAAGAATTAACAGAAGAATCAGAAAACTTTTTATATACAAGAATATAACTGATGAGCAAAGAAATGATTATCAAATGAAGCACAACAGAAGCAGAACAAAAAGCATTTGCGCAATAATGGAAGGAAATTCATTGGTAAATGATTGATAGCATATTTTCATTTGGATAGCATATTTTCATTTCATTAGCATAATTTCATTAGCATAATTTCATTCTCCACACCTCTTTTGGTCTTCTATTTCATTCAGGTCAATGGGTTCATAGATCTGGTCTGACTTCGTCAGGTGTGACTTCGTCAGGCCAGAAGAGGATAAGCAACAACATTTGGACTTAATCATATAAATATTTTTTGGTAAAATATATGAAAACAAATGATAAAAAAATCAAGTTGTGATCTACGTTGTTGAAGCTAAAAAGTAGCTTTGTCACCAACCACTGAAAAAGCACCAAAATTCGATTAACGATATCAACTATCGAGATGCAAAGTTTCCGGCGTTTGAGACATTAGACGTCACTCGATAATTGGAATCTATATCGTATTCTGTCGACATCAATCACCATCATCCTATGACATCATCACACGAAAGGAAAGGAAGAAGATAAAAGATTCTGATGAGTCTTAAATAGGTCTATAGGAGTATGAAAATGAAGATGAGGCATTTGCAGATGCGCTTCAGCCAGCTGGCAGTTGGGAAAGAAGGGATGAAATTTTACATGGGGGAATGGAAATCGTGTGAATAGGGATAAAAACTTTTTCTTTCGCCGAAAAATCAGGTAATTTTAAATTTGGCCGGCAATCGAGGTAAAATGCGGGATAGTTGTCCAGCCTGTACGTTCCTCCCTATGCCAAAGGTGTAAAGTTTGGATTTCAGATGGCAGAATATTGTTTGAACAATTTCTCTAATACTAATAATTAATGAAAAGCTATTCAAATTGAAATATATAAAAGTTACTCAGGATTAAATTGAATTGAAAAAATTTCTTTCCATATAAGTTAATGTTATGGTCACCACAACTTTTTCAGCCAGGCAGTCTTATATCTTTACATGAAGTGAGCGAATCAATCGTGAGAAAGAGTAATCAAGAGTGAGTGAATCAATCTATGATAAACTGTATAAGCAGTTCCGATTTTGGAGAAACCTACTACAGTACAGAACCCGTTATACGGAAATCAGAAAACCTTAAAACCAAAAAACCGGAACGAAATTTTATAAATTTTCCCTCCATTTTTAAAAAAAAAATTTTTTTTTTCCTCATAAGATTTTAGGATTGTTCTTTCTTTTTTGAAAGATGTTTACCTTACCATCATCTTGGAAGTAATCATTAGTGTATTACTTCATCCTTTTTTCTTCTTTTTAAGATTATTTCCAAATATTTTTTTTTTAAATTGGGTTAACAATAAAAAAAACAGCTTTTTGTAGCGATTCAGAAAACCGGAAAAATCAGTTATCCGGAATAGCGATGGTCCCGATCGTCCCTGATAATTGGTTCCCTACTGTACTACGTTTTCTTTAAAAAAAAATTTTTTTTACTTATGCATAATCAATGCCTCATCATTATAAAAAAGAGCTAGTACTCCGAGAAAATAACATTTTCATGGAAAACAAAAATGACAAATTATTTTTACAAAGAAGTATGTAATCTTACTCACCCTGTAATTATAGATTCTTTCAGTCTTCGAAATTTATATCCAACAGGTTCTCCCCCAGCTGATCCATACCTGGCATAACTAGTTATTTGCTGACACTCACACTTTTCTGGATCCTGAAAAAAGGAATAATGTACTTTTAAAAAAAATTAAGATACCATTTTAACTTAATTAGAAATATTTAATAATAAACATAAGGTAGTTCTGTTGTGCCCAACAAGTGAAATAATGAAAAAAATTATATGATATAAATATAACCCAGAAAATATAAAATAGTTTAAATTCCATGACTGCCTACAGTGCCTAGCCTCTCACAAACTCAAGCTTTACAGTTCCACACTAACTTTGGTGCTCTGTTCTCACATCTCTCCCTCCCCACACACATACATAAACTTGTTGCTTAGTGGCGTCTCATTACAATAAATGCCAACCAATACTATACTTAGTTACTTTTGATAAGATTAACTTAGAATTCAAGGAAAATATTTGGAATTCAAAATGGTTCTAAAATAAATAATAAAAGAGATAAGTAGTTGGCTGCATGCTACACAATGGATAAATCAAGCATTTGAATCACTTTTCAAAAAAATATCAATCAGAATATGTGCAGCAATAAAAGCTGTCTTTTTCTTTTGTTTAAAGTTCATTTATATACATGAAATCAACAAAATGCAAAAACAATTTCAGAGACTTCACATAATATAATATAATAAGTGAAGTTTCCAATAACTATTGCAGAGAAAGTCATGCTTTTTCTGTAATTTATGATGACAATTGACACGGCAAAGAAAAAATGTCATTTTGAAAATTAGAAAATTAAGCACTTTTTACAAACTCCCAATAAAAAAAAGCACCTTCAAGAGCTTTTAAAAAACGTAAATTAAAAAAAGCACTTTTTAAAAATGGGACGCACCCTGATAACCACTATGAGTTTTAACAGTATGGCATATTATTGATTAATGATATCTCACACCTATCATGGTATTAATTCATATTGCTGCAAGTTGTCTAAACCTAACAAAAAATAAAAAGGCTTAAATTGTTGAATGATTTCATAATGAATATGTACATTCTTTCCACCATTTAACTGACTGCAATACAATAGACTAAACGTAACATAGAAATTATGTATATTTTAAAGATTCTAGAAAAAAACAATTCTTAAAGAATAGTCAGATTATTAACATCTAATTACTCATTCACAGCTTCAGTAGACTTCCAACTGTCTGGAATACTAAAAAATGAAGAAAAATGGAATCCCCCCCCCCTTCATAGTAAAACTTCGGAATTGAAAGAAGTAAAGATAATAAACGTGACAGATTACATAATAAACATAACAAGAGAAATCATAAGGTATAAAATGCGGAATGATAAAGCGCTCCATCAGTACATTTTGAATCTTCTTAATCATAACTTTTCAAATTTGTCTAGTTTATTAATAAATGCAATTATCATTATGTTACATAACAATTATATTGGAGAGGTAATAAGAAGTAGAATATGGTAAAAGATGGCTAGTTTGTTATCCAGCCTGTCCTTTTACCACAGACTGGATCTATAGAATTGCAAGTCTATAGAATAGAGAAGAGTCTATAAAAATAAATAAAGAATTAATTACATAAAATAAATATATTTTTGTTATTACCTGACAATTATCTGTACAAGAACATCCACAAAGAAAATCAGGATCTAAGTTTAAATATACATTTTTGCCAGGAAACCTTTGAGCTTCGTATTCAACAAATGGTGGAGGGTCATTACTCCAGGAGTTTACACAGGCAACTGGAACATTTTCTTTTCCTCCGGTTATGTCTTTATTGTCGTAACGTACCTATAAAAATTTGTTATTTACAGTTTTTTTTTGTTTATGAAAAAAAAGTTTATGTTTAAGAGATATTTAAACAAAACCGAAATAAAATAAACAATAAGATTGGGGGAGCCAGAAAACAATATTTTTTTCTGTGCCTTTCGAAATTTGGTTGCGATTCATCAACTCAGTGTACTTCAAAGTGGTGCCAAAGGTTAGAGTGACTCATTCTTGAGTTTTCTGAGGGAAGTAACATCACAGCTGCTCATAAAAGCAATTGGAATGTTTACCCAAGTGTATGTGTAGTCATTAATAATTGTCAAAAGACAGTTTTCTTAACTCAAATACGATTATTTCAATTTTTTTTTAATTAGTATCTATCAGGAAGAGCAATAACCTCAAAAAAGTTATCATATTTTCATTTATTCTGATTGCTCAAATTAGCGAAAAATATGAAAATTGTTATCCAAAATAATTGCAATCTCTAGATCTTTTTCTAAAAAACTAATTGATTCTAATCAATCTGACATAAAAAAAAATCTAAAAACTAAATGGCAAAAGGTTGTTGGTAACAAGGGAGATGACATCCTCAATTAAAAATAACTTGTATTTCAATGTGGTTTAAAAAGCAAAAATCATATTATGGAAGAAGTTTGAATAAAAGGAAAGAATAAAATACTTAACTCGTGCCTTAAAAGATTTGATATATGTGCTACAAATGCTTTCACCTCCAATAACCTATCAAGTAGAATACTTTTCAAACAGCCAGTTATCGGCCAGGGGGTCACAATTAAAGTTCCACAATCCAAATATATTAGTTTAGAAATCCACATTAAACATTAATTTGAAAATACACATAGAACATTAATTTGAAAATCCACATTAAACATTAATATGAAAATTCACATTAATAATTAAAGTTGCACATAGTGGATTTCAATGTGGTTAGCAATGCGCACTGCCTGTTTTAATTCCTAGACAAGCTGCTAACCATTGACTTGAAACTACAAGGGCTTTAAGCTGCCACAGGTGACCAGAACCCCGGTCCTCCACCATGACAGCTCACTGCCTTAATTATTGTGCTAGGTGTGGGCAAACCACCTCAACTAGAAAAAATTTCGAATATATACAAGAAGTAGATAAAAACAAAACTAAGGTTAAATTTACCTCCTTTGGTCGGAAAGTTCGAAACACAAGGACTTGGTAATCAACACTAAAGAAATCAATTGGAATATGAGAAGATGTTATATATAAATAAAACTGAATTTCTTCTAAGGAGCGCAAGTGCTTTCCACATGGAGTCCTGTAGATAATTTTAATCCTAGTACTGGTACTCCTTTTCTTCTTATACTTTCTCACTTGTCTAAAATTTCAAAAATATAGTTAGCACAATTAACAATAGTATTATTCATAAATTTTTATTTCTGAAATAAATCAAAATTTCAGATTGCTTAGAAGTTAGATATTGTGAAGGATATTGTGCTGGTTTACCAGGCTGATTTTGTCAAATTTCTATGTTTATTATAACCAGTGACATAAAATGCACTAATTATCTTACTCATTTAGTCATGTCTTATTCTTATACGAAAGAAAATATTTAAAAAAAAATTATTTGCCAATAGAGTGATTTTTGAAAAAAATTAAATATTTTAACATTTTAAAATAAATAAATGTAATACTTAAAAAAAAATATTACAAGACCAATATTTATTTTTTTCAAAAATATTGGTCTTGTTTTTTTTTTTTTTAATTATTGGCACTTTTATGTACTTTAAAATCAAATTCATTTATTTTCCCTGTCTTTTTGGGTATTTTAATACAGTTTCCTAACAAAACATTTTATTTTTTCTAGATTAATAAAATTCACTGACTTTTACAGTTTTTTAACCACCATGTAATAGCTGATATATCCACATATTTCTAATGATAAATATAGCAGAAAATGTACCTTTCCCATCCAAGATGTATAGGTATGAGCATAGGATTTTGCCCTTTTAAATTAGCAGGATTTTCCTTTTCTTTGCATATAAGTGTATCTGTAGGATGCCTTTGAAAATTTACTCTAGTAAAAGAGTATCTCCTACGAATTTCTCTGTATCCCAAATGAGATTTTATATCTGGAGTACGACATTTTAAAGGTACATCTGAAATAGAATTGGAATCCTATAAGAAGTGGCATGGTAAAAAGAACCATCAATAGACAAATTCATATTTTTAATATACATGGTGACTGAATATGAATGTTGCAATTACAAATTGTATCATGCAAAAAGTAGATAAAAACAAAACTAAGGTGCATAAATTATTAAACACGCAAGAATATAAATTTGATACCAAAATATAAAGTACAATGAAATGTGTAGTATTTCAATATGTGATTTTATGTCATATTTTTTCATATCATATTATCTTTACACCAGGAATCTTTCATAATAGGCATTAAGACAATAATCAATCTCCATCCTTGTTTGGTAAAGTGACTCTGGAATTAGTTTCACTTGTTGCAATGACTGGGATTTTTAGGTAACTCAGTAATTAATTCACAATATACAGTGTTCTAATTCTACTGCTAACCACTGAGAGGCAATGCACTTTTTAAGGTTGACACATAATATTATTATGTGTTCAACATTTTCTTTTAAGGAAAGCATCTGGATGCCCTACTTTTTATTGCTAAGCTTCTAGTTTCTTTGAATTGTTTCCTCTATAGACTGTTCTCCAAAATGTGCTGTATGTCTTTTACCTTGCTTTCAATTTTACATACCACCACAAACCAAATTGCACCTTTTGCAAATTTCAGCAAATTGCACAGTTCACATCACTATTTGCCAATTTTCAATGACCTTGTCTTTATCAATGACCTTGTATGGCTCATTTTCAAAAGTAGAGGCAAATACCACTCAGCAACGAGTCTACGCTAAAGAAGAGTGTTCCACTAATATGGACACTTTCTTAACACTCCATTTACATAAGGCCTAAACAATTTAGCAAAAGAAGTCTATCGTTGAAATCTGAAGAAAAAAAAGTATAACATTCATTCCATTCCTTAAGTTGGAAACTTCACCTTGTTAAGATAGACATAGAATAATCATGCGGTATAAATCGGAGTTTTAAAAAAAAGTTATTGTTCTCATTGTGATAGCACATATATAATATCAGATTAAATATAAATGGGGAGCATGCAATAATATTCCTGTATAGCTTGTTTTCATTATATTTTAACAGAATGATTTTCAACTTTCTAATCCAAAAGAGTATGTAAAGAGATAACATGAACTACTTACTGCAAATTGCAAAACGAGATTTCGGTGCAGCAGCTCCAGACCCAGATTTGCGAGCTTTATTTCGAACTGGCGCTTCATTAAGATATTGACTACCTCCTGTTTTTCTCCTAGGGTGGAGATATTTCGCTGTGGTTTGAACTTCATTTTCATCATCTGAAAACAAAATGTTTTAATACATTAAACAGATAGAACAAATACTACATGCCAACTGATTTAGTTTGTTAACCCTAAAGACAGAAAGGGGAATGAAGTTAAATCATAAAATATTTCAAAGGGGAAAATTACTTAAGGTAAAAATTAAATAAGCTTCTTTTAAAGAGAAAAAAAAAAGATTCTTGAACTACACAATAAAATTTTAAAGAAAATTTTTTATGATCATGAAATAATCATTAACTTGAAGTATTATATCATTAAACTAGACAAGATTTAATTGCTTATCATCAATTTCAACATCGACAAATCAAGTATAGTTGTCATGCCTGATTCTGTATTGTTAAATCACTACAGTAATTCAATTCAATTCTAAGCGAATTCAAAAAAAAAAAAAAAATTAAACTACACTTCCTATTAACAAAAATATTTTACTTGATATATTGCTTAAATTAAAAGCAAAAAAGTATGCAATAAACCAGTTACCTGAGTCTAATGTAACCACTTCTTCTTCTCTTGTATATTCGACATATGGTTGATGTGGCTTACGAGGAACTATATTGTGTCTACGATTTTTACCTCCAGCACGACGATGCTCTTCTGCATTTTGCTAATTATAAAAGAAGTATTAAATTTTAATTAATAAACAACAAGTATGTAGTAAAATTAATTTTTTTTAGTGTCAAAATGATTTAAATGATGCACAATCATCCCTATTAAATATATCAGACTACTATTTACTAAAGCTTTTATATTGATTGCAATATATTTAAAAAAAGACACAAAAAGCAGTCATAAGAGAAAACTGATTTTTCAAGAAAAATTTAATTTCCAACCTTCATTGAAATAAAATAATTATGAGCATAGAAATAATTTAACTGCAAATGCTAAAAGCAAATTTAAATGCAGAAATACATCACAACTGCTCTTAAAATTATAGAACTAAATTTATTCAAGACAAAAGAAAAAAAACAATAAATTTTGCTAGTCTGTAAAAAATGGCAATAAACAAATATTTGATATTTCATGTAATATGAAGAGTAGAGAATTGGAAAAAAAAATAGGAGATATTAGTGCAATATTTCTAATCATCATATAGAAGATTCCAAATTTTAAGCTGATGTACATTTGTCTTCAGCTTCAAAAGTACTGGTTTCAAAAAGGCATGTCTCACTATAAAACTGTGCATCACACTTAGAGTACTTTCCATGATCATTCAGAAAGAGTAGACAAAGGGAATTATTATCAATTCAGCCAATAGAAGTATAGCTATCATAATTAGAATCTAAGGCATAGGTTCTTGGTAAATTTTTAAGCTTTAACAGCTCAAAAGCTAACAACATTACTCCATTATTCAATATCTCTAAAGCATAACTAGTAGTGATATTTGCTACTATTATTTGTAACACAATTATTATTGTCACAATTGTTGGTTTAAGTTATTATAAGGGCAATTTCATTTTGAAATTAAACATCGTATTTGACAGAACATAAGTAAAATCGAATTAATGACAAATATTTCTCGGAAAAATTATTGTTCAAATTTTTATATGCAATATGTTTTACTCAAAACAAGAACTTTGGATTTTTTTTCCTATTTTCCACAACTGTCATGAGTTAAAAATCTAAAAATTTTGTTAAAAAAATATATAAAAATAAATAGAAAAAACAAGGGAATCCTATTAGTTTAAAACATGAAAAAGACAATATCTAACATATAACAAAATATTTCATGTGTGATGCAACATAAATGCAGTGCACTTGGCATAAGTTTAAGAGGTATGCAAATTAACTTACAAGTTCATTGAATAATAATTTCAGTCTAGTAGATCCCCTGTAGATCCACTCAGTTCTATGGGATTCAATGAAGTACATTTTGACCATACTGGCATCAATGTCTAAAACTTTTGTGTCCCACCTGAAATAAAAACTTCGATTTAACTTGAAACTTTGATTCAAAAGGTAAAAACATCCAATAAACTCTGATACATATTTTGAAAAAAATCAGCAAGGCTAAATAATAAAAAGCAATACTGAAAGTGCAAATAATTTTATTGAGAAAATTTTAGGCATACATAAAAAGGAAGCAATATTTTTTCAAAATTAGAAGTAAGAAAGAAAAATATGAAGGGGGAAAAATTTTTAAAAAAAATCATTAAAGCACACTAATAGCTACTTGCCTCACAATAATGAATATATTTCTTCTTGGTTATTAATATGTCTCAAAAATCAAAAGAGGGAGTACAGCTAATTATTTATACTTACAAGTATTACAATATAAAAAAAAATTATCAGTTTTACATCTATATTCTTCTCGTCATACAATAAAATAAAAGAGTTGCCTTTAGATAAATTAGAATTTATTTAAATTTTAACTTTTTTCTGTTGAAAAACAAATTTCATCTTTTTTTTTAAACTTACTGCTTGCATAAACTACTTAAATCATTAAATTTTTAAATAAATCCTTGAATTACAAATGTAATGAAAATGTTATGGTTATAAAAATATTTATTTATAAAAACTTAAAAAAGCAAGGTATTCAAAACTTTTGACACTCAAAATGATACTCAAATGGTCAGTAGTGATTCAAAAATTTTGTTAAAATTATTTTGTTTTGCTTTACTTTAAAAAACAACTTTAAATTCATTTTGCAAGATTCATAGTTTTTCATAATTATTGTCTAAACACTGGGAGCTATACCATAGGCATTAAAAGACTTCAGGCCTACTCTTTAGAATATGTTACACTGTGAACATTTAAAGATATTTGCATTTCAAAACAATAATAAAGAATAATGACAAATAAAAACTCACCATTTACATTCATATTCAGTTTTTGTAATTTGATTTTGCTGTAATTTTACCATAGGTCTCTAAATAATTAAAAACAAACAAAAAAGCAATTAATTATAATTAACACTTATGTAACAACACTAAGGAAAAAAAGATTTATTTCTTACCTCTGGATACTTTTGTAAATAAGCTTTAATAAATTCTTTTAGATTTTCATGAACGTCATCAGCTACATCATTACCTTAACATAATTAAAAAAAATCAATTGTCATATTCAATGCAAAAACAATTTTTTGAATGAAACAAAAATTAAACATTAAAAAACTTACTTTGACCACACATGGCAAAAATATCATGGTGATAAATATATTGAGCATATCCATCATCAAAAAATATCAAATACCTAAAGAACATAAAACTTATATCATAAAAACATCTAAATAGAAAATGCCTTTTCAAAGATTTGAATCACGAGTTCAACAAAAAGAATGAACATAAAAATATATTTTGCCTAAAAAAAGTTATGTTTTTTTCTCTTGTAAGCTGTGGATTTCAACAAACACAATTAAGGAGTTCGCTTTCAGTAAAAGAATGTGTGAACTGACTTTTAAGTGAATTCAAGAAAATTAACTTTAGAATGCATAGAAATATCAAGAGTTTGATTCAGCCAAGTCTTTTTTTCCGCTCAATTATTGTTACATACCAACAGCCAACTATAATATACTTTTTTACAATAAGTTAAGAATAGATAAGTGAAAGTAAGAAAGGTTTGAAGCCTATTTTGAATTGCTCCATTAAACATTTTACTGAGTTCTACTTTAAATGGCTGATTCAAAAAATTACAAAGCATTTCAAAAAAGTGGAAAGTGATTTCATGACTGATTTAAACAATTTCAAAAGATAAATGTAACCAGGGAGCGCTAACCTCATTCAGATAGACTCTGGAAACATTAAGAAGATACGACAGATTCTGTTAAATCTTACCAATAAACATGGAAGAGATTGGTGTTAAAGGACAGTGTTAGCAAGATTATTTAAGCAGCTTTTTGACAATGTCAAAAGTTTCCCGTCACCAACTGATGTTACTTTGAAGGTGAATAAAGGCATTTGTTTCCATGTTTTATTCTATGCTTTTATTTACTAAATTTTTTAGGCACACTTTATATGCTGCTTTTAGTTTAAAAATTCCATCACTAACCTTTCACTGTTTGTAATTTTTGGAGGTTCTGCTGTTATTCCTGCATATATAGCTGTCCTAACGCCATCACAGTAACGAGCTTCAAAAAAAGTAATAATAATCTTTAATCAAAAAACTAAATTTAATTAATTTTATCTAAAATGCAAAATTAAATGAAATGAAGATAACCATACCACAAATTCTAGTTCCAACAGGTAATATAACATCTGGTGACTCCGTATAGGCCAGCTGTTTAGCACTAAAGAGTTTTAAAGGTGCAGTTTTTGTATTGTCAAATCTCACTTTATATAATTTACCATCACCTGAATCTCTAGCTGAGATTATCACACCTTCACCAAATTCTCCAACTTGACTAGTTCTCATTGCATACACTTTTATACCAGGTTGCAGTTGCCTAAAAATACAAATATAATATTACAAAAAAATAATTTTAAATTAGTAAAAAGTTTAAACTAGTAAAGATAAATAATGAACGTAAAAAACATTTTTTCATGTCAAAATAATCTGTACACAAAAATGTAACTAACACTTCTGAATATTTATCTTTGTCATGAACTATTTTTTTTCCCTATAAGGCAGAAAAACTTAAGTCTCTTATGTAGTACACATTAGCAGGGATGCAAAATGAGTCCTATCACGTAAACGAGGTTCGGAGAAAATTTCGGCAAAGTTCCGGGAAAATTTTTTGGCTTCATTAAAAATAAAATTTATATTAAATTTTTAATTGTAAAAAAATTTATGACATTTAAACAACTCTATGAATGCTTTTGTGTACTAATTTTTAATTGAAACAATTTACCAAACTTCCTGACTACTAAATTTTGTTGCTAAATGAAAAAATAGTATTTAGACAAAAAAGGCATTACAAAAAAAAAAAAAAAAAAAAAAAANAAAAAAAAAAAAAAGCAATCATTTTTTTAAAAAATGGCAAGATTGGGACATTTATCTCTAGGCCACTAGCTAATAAAGGTAGATTTATTGCGTTATGTCAATATTTACAATATGAATCTTTGCTTAAGTATCAAAAACTAAAGTAAAATAGGCAATGAAAGTAAAAATAACCCGGGTGATGATAACAAAATCAGATGCCATCATCTCCAAGACATGATTATTCTGTGGTTAAGGCACTTAAAGCTCACAGAGCTTTAAATTGATGGGTACCAGCCTGTCTGGGAAGTAAATGCATGCGCGCAGTGCTGACCACATTGTTACAACTATACCGTTGGTTACGAAATTGTAACCCCCGTTCAATTGTGGGCTATTGAGTGAATGCTTTACTTTAGCTATCTCCACATATTAAATAAGTGCCACGAGTTTCAGCAAGTGTTTCATGAACAGTATCGAAATTTTTAAAAAAGAACACTTACTTTTTACCCAATGACTGAATTTTCACATACTGAAAGGCAATCTTAATGATTCAAGAGAATACCTTATATATGCTAAAATACTTGTGCAAACAATATTTTATGTTTAAAAAATCAGACAAAAAAAAAAAAAAAAAAAAAATTTTTTNAAAAAAAAAAAAAAAAGATTCTTTCCCTGAATAAAAGACATTTTTGTCAATAAATGTAGACTGTTGTTCCTAAAAACAGGGATGGAAAATGTGGTCCTAGTAATTTATTCAAGAAAACGGATAAAATTAAAGACAACTCACGTAAATTTCACTTATGGCATCTTTTACCATTATAAATTAGTAGATTGTATATTAATTAGTAAGTATTAAATATTAAAAAATAAAGCATTACTTTCTTTTGAATTCTCCAACAGGGGGGAGGTGGTTTGTTTTTGTCTTCACAACATTAACAACTTCTAATACATCAGCAGAACATTTAGCCTCTTTGACCTCTGTAGCATTTTGATCCTAAATAAAAAGGCAGAAAACTCTTTACTGAAACAATTTTTCAAAAAAGGGTTAAAATATACTAACATAGATATATAATAATAATTCTTGAACTTGAAAGAAAAATAAAGCTAATAACCAATCATGCATAGTGTCCACACATTAATCGTTCGACCCATCAGCCGGATCTGACTGTTTATTATGCTTTTTCTTCACTCACCATAATGTAAAATTAAAGTTCCAGTTTGTTACCTTTCTACAGGAGTAACATACCCTTTGTGAAACACTTTAAATATTCAATTTAATGAGTAAGATTTGTACAACTAAGCTAGTTACTGTTTCTTTATTTTAAAGATATGCACAATGCCCGGAACATTACGAATAGGTCCATGATAAAACCTTACTATGTATAAATACTTCGGTTGTTGTGTTGTCATTACAGATGCTCATATTATTATTCACACAGTTAAACGATGGTATGCTAGCTTAATTCTATTTGAGATTTTTTTTTATAGTTATAACTGTTTGTTCAAGCTGTAATCATCCAGTCCAACTCATGGCAAATATTTCATTACTCCAACATCAGAAATATTAATACAACAAATTACTACAAGCGACTATTTTTAGTAAAAATATTATCTATATGGCAGCCTGACATTTACCAGTATTTGTTAAACAAATTCAAGAAAAATGGCAGAGTAAAAATATCAAATTTAATTTATTCCAAATTATAAGTCAGAGAGAAAGAGAAAAAAATGTGTGACTGTTAATTTATTTTTTATGGCAAGAAGAAAAATTAAATAAAAGCTGTGCTGTTAATAGTAAGAAAACTGGCACATGCTTCTGGTATTTTCCCATTAGCAAGGCAGTTTTATTTACATTATTTACCATTAACCCCTTCGCGCTGACTGTCACATATATGTGCCAGCAAGAAATGCGCTCACTTCCCTATAATGAAAATAAAATGTGTAAAATATATATTTAAACAAGAAATAACTTAAGTAAATAAAGTATCCATAGAAATATATTTAAATACTCTACAGAATAATATTAAACAAGGCGTTGCTATTTCGGTAATTTCATGGAATTAGGCATAACAGCAAAAAACAATCCGCCCCTGGAGAGACTGCCGGCCTCAGCGGTAAGTGCGCTTTCTCTCTTCCCGTCGCGAAAGGGTTAATAGCCATAGGTTGTCGGTAAAGAACTCGTCTTCCTCGCAAAAAATCCTTTTAAATTCATATTTATCTTGCAAGACAATAATGACAGAAATGTCACAAAAGGAAAAAAAGTTACACTTACTGGGGTGGCAGAAACTGTTTTCTTTTGATCTAGAGAAAATAATAAATATTAAAATTTTTAGATAATTGCAAACACTATAAAAAGAACATTACTTTCTAAACAAGAATTTATTATTGAATTACACATAAAATCTGACCTTAACTTAAAAACTTAACTTAAAAAATAAGATCTGACTGAACATATTAAATTTGAAAAGACTGGATTTTATTAAAAAAAATTATCAATAAACTAATTTAAGAATTTATCGGTTCATTCAGATAATACTCTGCAAATAAATATGTTGCGTAAGAAAAAGAAATATTCTCAGATTTCATACGGATTTAAGCTAAAGCTATTTCTAATAAATAACCATAAAACTTCCTATCACTCAGTAAAATAATTTTTGAAAAAAATATCAAATATTATTTCCTTATTGCATGCTCATAAATAATTATCTCAAATTCTATATTTAGCTGACAGACAATTACTTATAAAATATACTTGAGTCATTGTAAATAACCATCAATCATTCATTCATTCATGCACTCATACATACATGTAACTACATGAATACACATAACTACATTGCGTTTATAAGATACACCACAAAATATGCCATACTTTACAAAACCCAATTAAATACAGTATAGGAAGGTAAGAATCGTCACATAATTCATTAAGAAAAACTTAATTTTATAAACTTAACAAGTTACATTAAATATCCCAATCAAACATACAAGACACTTCTGAATTTTTTTACAAATGCCTACTCTTCTAAATATATATTTTAATATGAATTTTTTTTTTAAAAAAAAAAAGCATAGGGACAAAGTGTTAATTTTCTAAACATGAGAGGGTATCAAAATAGTGTTGTCCTAAAATAGCAATCTTACTAACTATTATTGCAGGCCCTGACATGGTCTTAAAACTGGATTGCACTAGAGAGCGCTTCAATCAATATTCTGATGCCATCAATACTGGGAGCAAACTACACAGATTGTTAAAACCGGTCGTGGCTTTTACCAGTTTAATCAAAATGCGATGCAACTGGTAGTAACACAGCAACTAATATATATCTGCTCTGTCATTTCCCTTGCAACAGAATCGATTTGAAAGACAATACCATTCACACATATTAAATTAAACTTACAATTTTTGTTTATGATAAGCTTTTTAAAATTTATGCATTTTTCAGCAACAATTCACAATGACAAATATAGAAAAAAAAATTATTTTTACCTTCATTTAAAACACTGCTATATAATGTCTTAAATTGAGCATTAGATTTTAGAGATGACAACGGAGACCTAAAACGGACAAGAAAACGTATTAATATAGACACCACATACATCAAAACTTTTTTTTTCCTTTTCTTTGCTATCAACGAAGCGTTTCTAACTTAGGACAAATAATAATTATTTTTATACTGTTTGATAAACTAGGCAATATTTGTCTAATTCAATTCAAGTAATAAGAATAATGTTATAATTTCAAAAATTATCATTAGTAGTTTGTGCTATTGGGTATGATGAAGGCATGCGAATAATAAGTGCCATGTTCGTATAATTATCTTTTTTACTTCTTTTTCAACAAAGATTCTAAAAATATATATTAAAATCTGGGTAATAAAATGCTATGTATATGTTAAAGAATTTTGAAACTTTAAGCCTAGATAACTGAAATTAATGTTACGATATGGCTAATCACTGAACTCGTAGAACTACTAATTAAAAAATATTCTTATTTTTTATAATCATTTAAAGTCAAACAAATTAGTTTAACATAAAAGGGTTTAAAATATAGATAGGTGATACATTTAATTATTTGTAAATGCTGTAAAATTAATTGTTTGATAAAATAAATTGTTTGAAGATTATTCAAACATTACAAAAATTGCTAAAGTTAAGAATCTATTAGACCACTATTTAGTTAACTCTGGTTAATTGACATGCTTACACAAAAAAAAAAATAATAAACCTAGAAATTATATTAATTTTTTTATTATATTTATTAATATAGAATTGATTGAAATTGAGAACAAGTTACTATGGGTTAAAATCAACCAATCACAAATTTCTCTGGATGTCCTATTTTATTTAAATGTATCTCACAATCAAACTGATTTATTGCAAGCCCTGGTTTTAAAAGATCCACAGCAGAAAAGTTTTAAATCCTTTTAAACATTCATTTTATGTACAATAAAAAAATGAAAAAACATCAGAAAACTTCATTGTTACAGTAAAAATTTCAGAATGTTTTAATATTTAATTTAGTTTTCATTTTAAGCTGGAAAAAAAAATCAGCAAAAGTAAGTGGGAGTATATTTCTGAAAAGAAATTGCTAACTTTATTGGAATCCAAAAATGTAACTGAAATTGAATTTACGACCGAACGTTTTAATTCTTTTTTTATTATAAAGTGGAACAAAAAAATTTTTGAATGTAAGTGGGAGTATATTTTTGAAAAGAAATAGCAAACTTTATTGAAATCTAAAAATGTGACTGGTAATGAGTTTTGCACCAAGAGTGTTGTTGTATGTTGAAACAGAAGTAAGGGACCAAAGTTCTGCCGCAGACAAAACAAACATATTTTTTATGGTCAGAGTAAATAAAATAACTTTTTTACATTTTTCTATTAAATTATTATAGTTTATGGCTAGTTTTAAACAATCTGTGGTTTAACATTCAAATTGCCTTGGTTCCTATGTTTTGTACGAAACATGTTCAACAGTATGAGTTGTAGAATATAAAATGATTACAGATTGATGACTAACAGATGTCAAAAATTCATCCGTTACCATTTCGTATTTAAAAGCGAATATCTTATGGTAAAAAAGGGTGTACCCAAATTAACATATAATACTTTTAATAAATAATTAATAATAAATATGTATGAAAATAATATTTCTCGTCTTTATAAATGCTGAAATTTGATTTGCACATAATTTATTACAATAAAAAATAAGTTCTTTTTAAATCATTTCTAATTTATTTTCGTAAATTATGGTTAATTTTGATTGCCTCATAGTTTAATGACCAAATGGCCAATTTAAAAATTGAATGAAAGTGAATATTTTATTGCAATAAGTGGTGCAGCAATAACAAAATATAAGACAATACTTCAAAGAAAGACTAAACATTATACATACATAAAGATAATATTCCTGGTCTTTATAAACGCTCGAATTTGATTTGCACATATTTCAATGTCACTTGCTATACCTAAAATAAAATTGAATATAAATTAATTAATTTTTTTCTTTTACTTTAAAATTTTAATATTATTTTACCACATATAACATAATTGTGTAAGGAAACTTACACAATTTTCAAACTGTAAATTAAAGATTTAACTTCAAATTTACCAAAGATCTAAATTATATTAATTGTTTTTGGATGTTTCTTTATTTATTTTTATTTATATATATATGTGTGTAGTAAAATGTACAGGGTTATTCATAATTCCCTCCGGGCAGGAACTGGACTATTGCATGGATGTATGCCGTGTGATCAAGGGTTCACACATAGAACACCTGTAATGTATGTAAGTAAAACTTGAATAGTTTCGGAATAATTTCATATGTTTCTTTTTTTCATATTCGTCTTCTTTTTTTTTTTTACAATAACGCTTCGAAACCCCGAAGGGAATTATGAATGACCCTGTACTTCATGAAAAGTTTTTTGGAAAATTATGTTTCATTAAATATATGGATTTATGCAATACTTAGAGCTATTATTATAGATTTATGCAATACTTAGACAGACTTGAGATTTGGATAAAGAGTCTGACAATGCATCAACTCAAAACATGAAAAAATAAATAAAGTGTGTGAAACTTCTTGACACATAAAGGATACATTTAAATTATTTACATAATTACATAAAAAAAATTTACTACATGGGTACATTGACAGTCCAACTTTAAACTTTATATAAATCAGGATAAAAAAAGAATAAAACGAAGTAAAGCAACAAAATAATGTAGAAATAGTAACAATTCTTCTAAAGTTTAGGGTGTCAGAGATTCTGCAAAATGTCAGAAAAATCTCATGCCTGTTCAATTTATAAGTTTTTTTTAGCAAAAAGGTAAAACTAGAACAAATTCAATTATTTACTAAACCATTACTTACTTCTAAATTTCGATGTTGCTTCTTTTGTTTCTTCAACCAACTGATTATTTTGATGTTTTGTTGCTTTGGCTGAAAGTTGTTTACAACTTGAGAAAATGTCAAATCTCAAATGAGTTGCAACATCAGATGTTACTGCTTTTCCATTTAGAGTTGTTTCTTTCGTGTCATGATGTCCATTGAAACCATTTTCTAAAGGCTTAATCTTCTTTTTTTCATCTAAACATGAAAAAAATAACATGTAGAAGAATAGTGTTATACCCTGATTCGATTATTTTCCTTTTAAAGCTCATATGAGAATTATACTTTCAATAATATTTTTCTTTTCACATGATACCGATATATTTGAAATTTGACCAGCCCATCATGCGAATACAGCTCGCCTATTAGGACGTCTTTAAATATTAGTTAAGCTTTTGCCTTTTGGTCCATTTCAGGCCATCAGCTCATCAGGCTGATGTGGCTCATCTACTAGAACATCTTCAAATAAATTTAGATGATACAGTATTTATCGGACAGCATAATACTTAAGGAGTTAATAATACTGCACATTTACATGTTTTTAAAAATACTTCTATTCCTGTTTAAACTGACAAAAACAGATTAGGATGATGCTGAAAAATTATGTTTATGTAAATTACATAAAAATAAAACTTTCAAAAATTTAAAAGCAAGGGTATAATAATAAATTATCATTTTTATAATGCTGATCACAAAATTCAAGATATAAACTAAGAAGAAGGCAAATTTTAAAAAAATATTAATTCCAAATAGGTGTACTTGCAACTCAAGATAACTGATGCACAGACACCTATAACTGATAAACAAAGACCAGACTTATGACTTCAGCACCAGCGCTGGTTGTTTATAAACAAGATAGCATATTAATAATTTAGATATTGCTGACGGCAAAGGTTGAGTTAATTTGTTCAGCATAAGTTAGAATGTTAATTAATGTGAAGAAAATTAAATACAATGCGGAATTTGTTAAAATATAATTCTTTTATGTCAATGTCTCTTATTTAGCCTAGATTTATTACTTGTTTATGTATATTTTATTATAACCATGACAATTTTTGTTTTGTGCATTTGGCAACTTTGTAGCATAATTATTTCGTTCATGTTTTACATAGCTTCATGCCTGTCCTAGAGCTCAGCAAGAAATAAACCAAATCTTTCTTAGGGTAAAAATGTAGAATGTGTCACTTAAGAAAGTTCATATTTGGCATGGCAGGTTTACTCGAAATAGAATGGAAAGAGTAAACAGTTGAACACAAAAACAAATGCCATGTTTCAACAGCCAATCAAGACCGATACACATGCTGATGACACTAGCAAAAACCCATCTCCTTTCATGGTAATTCAGAAAAATCTCTTTTATTTTGAATATTTTAAGAGGTACAACCTAACAACTTTTTATAAAAATTAAATAAATAATTAAATACATATATTCAACCTTGTTAATATTCAAAACACAATCTCAAATTTAAAAACATTATAGAAAAATTTGAAATAAAAAAGAATGTTTAAATATTTCAATTACCTTTAATATTAGAATCTGAACACACGTCTGGTTCGGAATTAGAATTCGAAATTGGCACAACTGCATCTGCTCCTGGCATAGCTAATCTAAAATTAAGAAATGTTAAACTGTATTACACGCTATTGTAGATTGCAAAGTGATAAATCAGATATCATAAAAAAGATACAAGACAAATGTCAATAAATACAAATAGTCCTTTTATAGGAAAAAAATCTCAATTATGATATGTAGCACCAAAAAAAATTATAGTGATGATAAAATAACAATTATAAATCAAGTCAAACTGTAATGTAATACAGAACATACTTTGAAATTTGCAATTAACATGTTATTAATCAAGAACAAGATATTTAGCCAATTTATAAGCATGGTCCATTCATTCAAACATTATTCATATCTTGGTATTACAATAAATTATACAAAATGGAGTGGTTTAATACTGTACCTGATCACAGTAGGTAAAATCAGAGGCACCAAACACCACTACCAGATTCTTATACAACAATTAAACTAAATAATATATTGTGGCTTGCCTGAAAGTGCTATGAGTTTTACCCTTCAAAATTTCCCTGTTCTTTGTATAACATTGCCTGACTGAAATTTAAATTTCTCTCCAGAAATCAGACATTTTCATGCATCGACATTTTTCAGGCAGTAGTGAAAAATTCATACAAAAGTTCATTAAAATACAATGTGGGTAATTTCTATAAAGTTTTAACTAAATTTTTACTAGTTCTAATAATCATCAAAAAATAAAATAAATACACATAAAAATCTGACTATAAGTATGAAAGAAATTTTAACAATCAAAATCATAAATTTAAATTTAAGATAGACTTAAATTTGTACCTCTTATAAAAAACAAATACAGCATATAAAAAATGCTATAAATATTTGTGTATAATACCAAACTCATAAAATTAGAGAAATAGCACCGAAATTTTCTTAATCTTTTATTATTACAGATACAATAATTAACTTAAATAAGAAAAAAATAATATTGAAGCTTATAAGCGAAATATTATAAATTAACTTTAGCTTATGATATATATTATAAACTAAATATATTTTAATAAACTTAAAATTGGATTACTGTTAAATATATGCAAAATTCATGAACTGTAACTGGAAATGAAAAACCAACAATTGAAATTGGTTAGGACGAAATCTATTGATCAATTGAAAGAAGAACTAAAGGCTATAGTCATAATTACACACATTACATAATTCATAATAATGCGATCGACACAGTTCATACGATTTAAAAACAATCTTTCAAATAAAATTCATTCATATGAAAAAGGCTTTGTTTACATTCCATAGACATAAAAAAAAAACGCACCAATAAGCAATAAATCTAAATCGGCAGAGTTAAGATTAAAATAATACATTTCAAATGAATACAATATAAGCTAAAAATAACTAAAAAATCGTTAAAAATAATTTTTAAATAAAAAAGTCCTAGAGGAAAAACCCATCAAAAGTAAAAAACTATCAACCATCCCGCCTTAAACCAATCGTGCACATGGCGCCACCTCGATTGAAAAAATGAAACTAATATGCGAGTACTAAAGGATCTTTGTTTGCCAAGGTACTAAATATGGATGAAAGTGGCTAGACCTGTGGCAGAATTTTTTTAGTCTTTCTGCGACAAACCTCTCTAGCACTAATATCTTTCTGCAAGATACTTTTATTTATAAATAAATACTGTAAATAAGTATAAGTAAGTTTTAACAAAGTAATAAGTTTTAACAAAGAAACTCATACCAAGTTTTGAAAAACTGACATTTCTTCACTTGTTAAGTAATTCCAAACTATATTTAATGATCTAATAAAAAAAATTCTCAGAGAAAAAGTTATTATATGTTATACAAACATCATTTAAAGTGCTAGTACGAAAAGCTATTAAAATAACATAAACCATCTGATTGGACAATGCTACCTTATTTAATGAAATAAAAATTCATGAAGTTAAATAACTTCTAACAGCATTTTTGATAACAGATATATGTTAATTTTCTAGTCGGCTGTTAGTTTAGATTGAATTTTCTAAATAACGAACAATTTTCGACATATTGTATTTGAAAATTGCGATAGGAAATGCGAAATAAAATATAAGTTAATTAATTGGTAACATTCAATTTGAAATACATGAAAATGTTAACACACGTGACCATTAGGGGTCGCTAGGATCTCCCAATTATTTTCACTAATCAACAAATATTGTCTGGCCCTTGGCATACTGTCTGGCCATACGGCATACTTACAAAATTTCCTATTTTTACTTTTACTTATTTATTATTTTTAAGAACCACAAAGGAAATTATTACAAAGTTTAATTAACTCTTTTCAATAGCTATGAAAAAAAGTATGCGTAAGTATAGTTTAAAGTAGCCATTTCACAATTTTGTCTTAAAGAAAGTTAATCCCCTCCTCTGTCAATCACTCGTCTTGGTGGTCTACTAGAAAACATGGAAGCCAGTTTCATCCGAAACATTAGCTTATATACAGGGCTGATTGTGCTCCGGAAAAAATCCTGATTTCCGGATTTTTCGCTAACAGTGATCCGGAAGTTTCCGGAGATCGAAAGTCCAGATGTTTCAAAAAATCATTGATCACTTAAATTTCCGGAAATCAAATTTTTAAAGGTAGAACTTAAAAACACAGTTTATTTAATTTGTTTGTAAGGGAGAGCCACAGAGGTACTTTATAAGCTTATATTCATGATTAATATTCATTTTTTATCACTAAATAGTTGTTATAATCATAAACTCAAAAAAAAAAAAGACATATTTGTAGATTTTAATAACTTCTCCAGGTCATCATAGGTATGTGTAAATGGTATAGGTATGTGTAAAATTTTAAATATATTTTTAGTAAACTAAGAAATATTGAGAAAAAGGAAAAAAAACCTTGTTTAAATTTTTTTCTAATTTTTCAATTTAAACTGTTTTTGTTTTGTTTTGTTTTTTTTTTTCAAATTCAGGAAATTTTCCGGAATTTTGACTTGGGCTCACAATCACCCCTGTTATATAATAATAGCTTTTTGTACCATCCATAAAGGAAATTTGTGAACACAATATTTTTCAAACTGTGAACACGTTATGGTTGAAACAATTGCTAAAATGAAAAAATTAATAGTATTACTGAGCTTATCAATCATGAGTAAAGATATGATGAATGAAATGAAACAAGAACTTGCAGTAGAAATAGCGTTTTGTTTGACTTAAGGAAAATTGTATCTATAACAAAAATAACTTATGGTGTCCAAATATAGTAGAAATACATAATAGCGTTGTAAAATTTCTGGCAAAAGAAGTAAAACATCCTTTTGCGTAATTTCATTGCGCATTCTGCACCAACTAGCACTATGGGTAAAAAACTTGCAAGATGGTACAATTTTACATGGGTGAACGAATTTGTAAAAGTAGGTGAAATATTAGAATAAGTGGAGTGTGTGAATCAGAGAACTTAATCCTTGAATAATGGAACGATCTTACTCAAAAGTTTTCAGTCAAGAAAAATGTAAGTCTGCCTACGCGTCTGAGCAAGACTTATCGTCAATGAACTCCAAATGTACTGTAAGAAACTGCATTGATTATTTAAGTGAATCATGTGTATTATTAAAAACAAACAGTTATAACCCAAAGATAAATGACTTGGCTAATTTCAGCAGCAGGTGTTCCACTTAATGAGATTAAATGCAAGCAGATTTTGGAGATCAGATTTATTTGTATCATTAAAAGACTGTTTGGATAAACAGCAAATATATTATGTGAAGCGGCTAAAGAAACTATGATTTTTTAAGTGAAAATATAAAGGCAATAAATGATATATTACGAATTCTACAATTTTTTTTCCTTTAAGAAATTTAAAAACAATTAACATAAAACTAAAATATGTTTTAAATAATTTTCGTTTAACTTACATTTAATGCAAGTTAATAACAAAACAGTAAATATAGTTACAATATATAATAAATATAGTATCGACTGTCTGAAACCAAAACAAGTATGGAATAACATCTTTTTTTTTTTTTTTTTAAATATTCCAAGTGGCACACTTGCCATTCGAAAGTAATTTAAACTGGCACACTAATCGAAAATGGTTTGCTGCCATAGAATATTTAATATTGTGACTCAAATACACCTAAAAATCAAGTCAGACAGATTTTGACCACATACATATTCAGTTATTTTAATGAAACTGGAGACGATATTTATAGGACACTATTTTAATTCCATGAAAATTCCATAAGGCCCTTTACTATTACAGAGGATACTGCAGAATCCTGAAAGAAACAATTTTTTTTCCTTCTTTTTTTTCCACCGTCTTACAACGTTTATAAGGAAGTTACGAAGAGTTAAAAATAGCATCTAAATTAAGCATCTAAAGTTGAGCATCGAATTGGGTTTTAGTAAAATACGTTCAACATTTGAAAAGCAATCGTGAAAGGGATGAATTATCGATCATTCTCTATAGAAGTTAGAATTAAGAAATGTGCATGCTGCAGGCGGTAAGTTACAATCTAATTTAGGGGTCGGAAAGAAGTGGCCCGCTGGCCGTTTAGTAATTTTACGTGGCCCACTATGCCCTTTAAAGTAAGCAGCAATTTGTAGATTTCTTCAAATTATAAGGTTTGAAATATTTTATTAATTAATAATTTTTTAAAATTAATAATTTTAAAAAAATCTGAAATATAGGTTTTCAGAAAAATTTCATTCTTACAAATATCATTACCCCCACCCCCTTCTTTTTTTTTCTTCCACTGACGTGGACAATAAAAATGGCCTTCAGCTCTGTTAAGAAAAAGCAATCCCACCTGTTTTTATGATTTCTCCCGCACAACTAGATAAAGCAAACTTATTAGTGATGTGGTTACAGACTTGAAGTTTTTTCAAGCTAGGTTAGAATTTATTCAATTCCCGTGTTGCATCAGTTTTCCACGAAGCACAAATAAACTGTACACTGAGTGGCCAAATTATTATGACCACCTCAGAGTTTTATGCAAATGAGTTATTGCGTCACAGCGTTGCCGCTAGAGGGCAAGATAACCATAATACGAGAATGCTGGACATCAGTTATA